GGTGGACTGTTACAAAACATAATTAAAGAAAACCGATGTCTTTTCTTCATATTAGCAAAAAGTCATTGGAAAGTATATTCGGGGCAGAGAAACCTCATTCATGATAGCAACAACAACAAAATCTGAAAAATAACACAAATTACAGGACCTGTAAGAAGATACTTACAAAACTTCAAAACTACTTAAATAAGTGGAAACATACTACATTCCCGAATAGAAAAATTCAATATTGTGAAATCAAAATTTCTCCACAAATTAACACCTATAACTAATAAATTACAAACAAGTTCAAAGGGAAGTTTGGGGAACTTGACAATGTAATTTTTAATATATTCCGATATAAAAGACTATTATAAACATTTTAAAAGAGATAATTAAATGTCATAATTAAAACTGTGAGCATTGGCTGAGAAAAAGATACGAAGATAATGGAATGGAATAGAAAACTCTGAAACTGAGACATAAAGATAATAGTAATCAACATAGGAAGTGGGTAAATAGAAAGTAGAAGTCCTAGAATTGAGCTTTGGGATGTTCCAACATTAAGAGGAGATAAGGAGATTAGAATAAGAGACTGAAAAGGAGTCACCATTGTTGTAGAAGGGAAACTGTGGCGTCCTGGATGCCAAGCAAAGGAAGTGTTGCAGCAAGAGAATGACCATTGGTTTTAGCAACATGAGGTCATTGATGTCCTTGAAAAAAGCAGTTTCAGTAGAGAGGTGAGTGAAGTCGGTGACCTGATTGGAGTGAGTTCAAGAAAGGATGAGGCTGATGGTGGTGAGGGTAGACGTCCATTTCGAGGAGTTTTGCTGTGAAGTAATGAGAGAAACAGGCAGTAGCTGGAGGGAAAACAGGGGTCAAGAGGGTTTATAATGGGAGCGATCTATTTGAAAGGGGAAAAAATAATGATGCAGGAGAGAAACAACTGAAGCAATGTCCTCGGCAGGTTAAATTAAGGATGAAATCGAGTCCACAAATAGAGCATTAGCTTTAAGGAGACAGTTCATGCAAAGTAGCAGGAGCAAAGGTAAATTATGTGGACAGAGGCTGGTAGGTGGGAGCTTGGGAGAAGGTCTTTGATTACTTTTATATTTTCTCAGTGAAAGGGGGTCATCAACTGACATTAAGGACAGGGCAAAGTGCATGTTTTAAGAAAAAAGTTTGATATATTTCAAGAGAATTGATAAATGGACTAGGAAAATGTATTATGATTCCTAGGAGCATTAAGTGCCTACTTGAGATCAATAGTCATGATGATTCTCCCTGGTCAGCTTTAGCTTTGTGGACATTGGTGTGCAGTAGCAGGTTGGGATTTCACCAGGATTTTGCTTTTCCCAGCAATACATCAAGGCAAGAGACAGGCAAGGAAGTTGAAGTTATATGAAAAGGAGAAATTTTAAGGACTAACCATGGAATTCAAGCTGGGTAAGAGGAGGAGTAAAGACTTTAAGGGAAAGAGAGAGAGTGCAAAAGTGGTATGAACAATGGATTGTAGGATTTGGTAGGATGAAGGCATTGTTAGACTTAGGGTGCCAGTGGGCATGAACTAGAAAAATAAGAGGTGATGGTCAGAGTTGGATGCTTGAAATTGATATTAAGGAAGAATATGGATATTGGTAATGACAAAAGCTCGGAATTAATCATGAGAATAAGTGGCCAACATAGTCTGGAGAATAAGATAACTGGAGAAGAAAGGCTGGGAACCTAGAAACTAGAAAAAATAATGTTAGACAGACACTGAAATCATCAGGTATTATGACAGAAGCAACAATGGAATGAGTGACCCTAAGAATGAGGGTGAGGGTGAGAATACAGGGGTTCATTTGCAACAAGGAGGAATAGCAGGTGGTACACTTTTTTGATAGAACATTCAAAGTGAAACATTTTACAGAAAGTGGAGAGTGGTCTCATGGTGGCATTGAAGATAAAGGTGCACATTTAAATCTAGCTCTATGTCCAGTGGTGTGATGGGTATAGGGAAAAAAAAAAAAAGTGACCTGAATAAAGGATTCAAGGTGAAGGGAGGGTTGAGAGAAGTAAAAGATGTTAGGGAATTTTACTGATGATTGATTTTGAGTTCCAGAGGGCACAGTGGGAATGTGTTAGGAGTTGGGGAAAGAATATGGGTCCAGAAAGGAGGCTGTTAAGAGCCATATGAGGGCTTCTTGTGGTTATAAAATTAAAAGGAATCAAAGACATATGCAATTCACCCTAATGCTTTGGAGGCTTAAAGTTGACAAGACTTCACATTGAGCAGTAGAAAGGGGTGGCCAGGTCTTCCAGGAGCCCTGCAGAGTTCTGGGTGGGCCTATTCTCCCTTGAGATGGAAGCACTGAGGAGTGGTCTTTCTCAAAGCACACTGGGTTCAAATCTCCTTTGGAATAGTAGACTGAGGTGTAGCCTGAGGCTGGAGGTGATGCAGTCTTACACCAAGCATGATGGAGTTCCTTTCATGACCCCTGCTGGTAGCTGTATGGAAATCAGGAATGAGAACCCTGAGCATCCAGACATGAATTGCTTAACATTGAGTGTGTACTACATGCTAGGAACATGACAGTTATTAGCACACTTGTTCTTCAGAACAACCCTTTGAAGTAGGTACTATTATCCCCATTTAGGGGTGAGAAATCTGAGGCTTAATAAGATTGTGACTTGTCAAATGCCACAACTAGTTTAAGAGCTGGAGAGCAAATATGAAAACAGGCAACCTGATTTCAAAGCACCTACTCTTAAACTGTATGATGCACCACCTCCATGGGGAACTGGCTATTTTAAACTATTCTGGGATTAAAACTTGTCCCCCCACCACATTCACTTAAAAAAAAATCACAAATGCTTATCTTTTCTCAAAAAGATTTTACAAGTGTTGTAACAGAAGGCATTTGTTTGGATTTTAATATTTGCTGATCTACTTATCAAAAAAAAAAAAGGAACACGGATTTGGCAGTCCAGGGTACAGGACTTCACAATAGCAAGTAACAAACTCTATTGTAAAGAAACATTCAAAAGATTAATTTGGAAGTAATAGGTTAAGTGGAGTATAATGCAGAGGTTGTGAGTATATGTCCCAACAGGATATTTTCTCAAATGTTTTAATGTCATACAAATGAACACTGTGGGTTGGAATAAAATTTACCATGGCAACATCAACACATCACTCAGAAAAGCTCCTAGTGCTCACTTTGGCAGCTCATACACTAAAACTGGAATGATTTAGAGAAAATAAGTATGGCCTTTGTACAAGGAATATACGCAAAGTCATGAGCAGTCTGCATTTTTTTGAACAGACTAAATAGACAATACAACCAAATGAATCTTGACTGAACCCTGGACCAAAAAAAAAAAAAAGAAAGAAAAGTGTATGTACGTGTGAATGACAGCACCTGGAGAAATTTGACTATGGACTATATATTAGATATTATGAAATTATTAATTTTCTTAGGTGTGATACTGGTATTATGGTCATATAGGCAAATATTCTTATCTAGGAAAACACATGCTGAAGCATTTAGGGATGAAGGATCATGATGTCCCAACTTACTTTTAAATGGCTCACCCAAAAAAATGTTTTACACAAACACACACGTGTGTGCATGCGAGGGTACTCCAAAATGTTCAAAGAAAAATTGAATTAAAATATGAATCTTTCCATGAACTTTTTGAAAAACCCTCATATTTATCATGCATAACACACATATATATTATATATATATACACACACACATATACATATATACATTTAAAACATACATACACATATAGAAAGAAAACTAAAAATGTCAACCACTGATGAATCTGGATAAAGGTGCATGGGTGTTCAATTTTTCTATGAAAAATTTTTCAAATTAAGAAATTCTGGAGAGGGCTGGCCAGTTAGCTCAGTTGGTTAGAGCATGTTGTTATAACATCAGGGTCAAGGGTTCAGATCCCTGTTCCAGCCAGCTACCAAAAAAAAAAAGAAAGAAAGAAATTGGAGAAAGGCATGTAAGGTTTTTAAATGTAATTTAAAAAGCAGTATTTCTAAGTTGACATATTACTTAATATATTGTGATTTTAAACTTATTCAACTAGGTTAACAAATAGAAGTTTATATCCATTTCATGTTTATGCCTTCAAGTTTATATATTCAGATTGGGGACACATATCAAAACGTGGCAAGATAAACAAAATAACTGGAAATATGGAGTTGAAAACAGTTGCTGCTGGGGAGCAAGAAATCCTTGGTAGAGAAAGGTGGGTGGTGGTGGTGGTGTGTGTGAGAAACAGCATGGAATAGAGAATTGCTGCTTTTCTGTACAAGCCTTTTAAAACTATTTAATTCCCCAAATTATATGGATATATAACTTCAATTAATATTTTTAAAAATCCAATTAAAAGAACTGTTTTACTTTTCATCCTTGTCTTTACCAACCCCTAGTTTCCTCTTATTTCATCCTGTCCTAATGCATTATTTAACATTAGGGGAAAACATGAAGTGACCATTAAGGAACAATGAAAACCCATTTTATATACATATTATATACATACATATATATATATATATATATATATATATATTAGTCTTGCTTCTTACTAGGCACAAATCTACTATTGGCAAGAATTTCACTCCTTGTTTTAAGGTTTTGTTTTCTTTTCCTCCTCATGTAGTTATAATCTGAGAGAAGAAAAATAAACCCCACATTGCAAAATGTTATACTCTATTTACATATGGAAAAGTTAAATACTAGTAGTCTTAAAGATGGCACCTATTAAGAAAAAGCACATACATGCACTACATTAAATCAAGGTTCAAAACTGTCATTTTAAAATCATAATTTTGAAATTATGACTCCATAGAGAAAAAAATATTAATGTGAAAGTACAATCTGTTGTTGGCTGAAATGTGATCAGTATTTAATGGGATGCTGCTATATTTAGCTTTAAAAGTGCACAAATTTAAATCTATATTCAGAGGTTAATAAATTTGTGAGTTCTCTTTCGAAGAACAGAAGAGTCAGTAATTAATAAAGACAAGTATTCAGATTTATTTGGAAATTCACAGTTTCTAATGGCACTACAGCTCTGTAGTTACATACTGAAAGTCCTCTTCCCACAACACACGGATGGTGTAACTTCCCGCTGTACCTCTGCTCTCAGTTGGACCTCTTTTCAAGGGGCTTCTATACACTCAGACCCTCTTGCTCTGAATGGCTAATTGTGCAGACTGGAAAAAAAATTGAAATCTTCTAAAACATACTGTTAACCTAAAGCAGCAACTCAAATAAAAAAGGCTTTAAATTAGTCACATTACAAACAATACCCTAAAAAAGGTATTAGACAGGTTTACAGTTATTAATAAAAGTGCTCAATAAGTTATAACATAAATCTTACAACACAAAATGGTCAATTCTCTCAAAAAGAAACATGTTTCACTTTCACTCATTACTGTACAATCACACACTAGAAATCATTTATTCAAATACAGTCGCTGCCAATTATTTTTTAAAGGAAAAAAAGACAAATGAAGACAGACATATTGCCATCACATATGTATATATCTCTGCACATCTGTAGCCAATACAAAGCAAACCTCAAGGAATAATAATCCCTTTAGACTTGACCAATTAGACAAGGCTTGACAAACTCACTAGCTGGTTCTGTTCGTATGTACACAGGCAGTGATTATATCATATAAGACCTGGACTCCCTTGCCAAACCTTCAAATTTTATATTTGTAGTAATAGAAAACAGTGATATGGAAAGTTTGGAGGACTAGTGTTTAGTGTGAATGTTTAAAACGTAATATACCTAAAGAAAACCTTCACAAATGGTTAAATGTGTTTAAAAGGTGAATTTATCAAAAATTTGTTTGCAAATACCAGTCATTTGCAAGAAAAGATCTTGTAGTTTTTCTCTCACTGAATTAGTAATTATAGTAATCCAGCCTAAACAAGTTAAATGAAAACATTAATAACATCACCATTTACCTAAAAGAATAGACTTAAAAATTCCAGCAAGTGTTTATCTCCAGTGAGTCTGTTAAACAGAGATCTATTTGGCAAGTCTTTAGGATCCTTACACTGTCTGACCCACATTGCTGAGCTTCAGGCAAAGACCACCCTAAAACCTTGTAGTGTTTGCAGCTTCAAAAAAACTAACAAAGTTATAAAAGAAATCAAATGACAGAAAAAGTTTTCCCTCCTCTTCCAGTGGCATTATAAATAGACAAAAGGCACATAAATATGGGAAGGTGCAAGAAATAGGAACAAAGCTAAAGGAAGAGGTTTATGCTTTCATTCCTATCCCACCCAAGGGACTGGGCTTCCAAATTACTTCTGTCCCAGTAATTAATCTATGAAAAAACATCTTTATAAAATGTTTACCATTGTCCTTGTAGGAAATGATCAGCCTTGTAAAACTGCAGCTCATTAACCATGATTGAAATAATCCCATCTGGCAGAAACCATAATTTCTGAATAGTTTTCCCACTAATATTTTCTCCCTCCCCCAAACCCTTCAAATACAGACTGGTCTTCAAAAAACAACAAAAAAGTCTCCAGTATGAAAAGTTCAACTAGTTTTAGATGTGTCCCGACACTGCTGTAACACCAAATGTTCCCACGGTGATCTCTTTGTTTCCTTTGATTATGTCATGCAGGCTTGGCAATGATCCTGACTTAGTCTGTATTAGAGTTTTTATCAATTTTCCTTGGTCTTGGACTTTAGATCGCCTTCGTTTTAAAGCCCTCTTCTCAGTTTTTGTCTTTTGGGACTGTCCATTGCACAGACTTGTGCAAGCTGAAATGCCACAAAAATAGGACTCTTCTGACTGTGATGAAGTTTCTGAACTTCCTTCAGATGGAGGACCTTTATAAGAAGAGTGATAAACTTCTCCCATATTAGAAAAATCTCTCTGGTTTGTAAAGGGCTTCCTTCCTTTTATGTCTCCATTGGCTACAGGGTGCAATGGATCTGCAGGCTTTATGGTCTCAATTTTTTCAGTTTTGTACTTGCAGCGTTTCTTCTGTAACACAAGCAGGAAAAAAAAGGATAGGAATTAGATCTCTAATAGTTACCTTATCAAACATCTAGAGAGCTGAGCTAATGGAAAAAAGTGCCTGGTGAAAAGTAAAACATAATTATAAAGAGCATATACGAGGGCACTTCAAAAAGTTCCTAGAAAAATAGAATTAAAATACAAATCTTTCCACAAACTTTTTGATGTATCCTTGTACGGTATACACACACACACACAATTATGTTCTATATAGATAACTATCATCACCTTCTCATTTTGTAAATACTACTCAACCAAAACTCTTTAAATTGCTTATGCGCCACCTATGAATATAGATTTAAAGAATGATAACTAACATCTGAATACCTAGTATGTGCCAGATATCATATGGTTGCTTTCATGTATATCTTACTTATTAACTCCGAAAGGTGGGTAATTTTATCCTTGATTCCTAAATGAGAAAACCAAGGATCTAAGGTCTGGTTCCTTACCCAAGTTACAAAGTACTAAGTGGTCTAGTTGGAACTGAATCAAGTTATTTGGCTCTAAAGCCCAAGTTCTTTCATCTAGAGCAATTTCTGTTAATCAAACTGAGTATAATTTCATTTGAGAGGCACAATGGAAAAGTACAGACTTTGTTGCCAAAAAAATCCTAAGTACATTCTGAATTTTTCCACCTATTTAATGGGTCATTTAAGAAAGACACAAATCTGAGTTTCAGTTTTCTCATTTAAAAAAATGGGGGTAATATTATTTTCACACTGTTGTGAGGATTACGGGAATAATGCATGCACTGTGCCTGGCATGCATTCAATATTCAATAAATAATGACTATCAGCAAACTATATCTGCAAAAGTTTGGACAGTAAATATTTTAGGCTTTACAGGTCACATAATATCTCTCCTGCATATTCTTCTTTGTTTTATTTATTTATTTATTTATTTTTTTTGTCTTTTTGTCTTTTTTCCGTGTCCGGCAACGGATCACAACCCTCAGTGTTGCCCCCGTACCGGACCGGGGACCGGCAACGGGACCGCAACCCTTGGTGTTGCTCCCGCGCCTTGCTCAGCCAGTGAGCGGGAACCGGTCTGTATGTGGGATCCGAACCCTTGGGCGGGAGCGCCGCCGCACTTCCCAAGCGGCGCACTATCCAGTGCACCACTGGGCCGGCCCCATTCTTTGTTTTATTTTATAACCCTTTAAAAATGAGAAAACCCTTCTTGGCTCCTGGCCTATAAAAAACAGGCCACAGGCCATAGGTTACAGTTTGCTGATTCCTGTCAACATTTACTTACACTATTACCATGACTGGAAATAAACAGTAAGTTAAGGACTACTTAAAGGTTATGTTAAATTTTTCAACCTATTTCTTCATTTATTACCACAGAACATACCAATAAACTTAAAAAGAAACAAAATATTACCTTTTTTTCTGGAGAGAACTTGAGGGGCTCTACGATATACAAATCATTTGGGTCTACTATAAGGAAAAAAAAGTAGATGTAAAATGAAAAGTGGATTATGCTATGATCAAACACTAAAAAATATAATATTAGTGATTATTTTGTTAACAGAACCAATGAATTTATATTTATATCAGGTTAACTATACATTTATGCATTTTAAATTAGTAAGCCAAAAGAGGAAAGGTAGGAGACGGTATCATTCTTATTTTGAACTTGACTGGTTACCTTCAAATAACTATACTTCCTTGTTAAGTTTTTATACTTAAATATAAAATAACTTACTACATACATCTATACTTCTTTAAGTTTTTAAATAACAGCTGGTTATCAACAAACACAATAAGGATCTTTCTTTGGGCCCAACCCTACTCTCTTACCTGATGAAGAAAATAACATTACTGGGTAAGCCACCAAATCTACAGATCATTTAAAAATTTTCCTAAAAGACTAAACTCTACACTGTATTGCAAAGGTGGATTAACACTGTGCAACAAGCAGTTGTGAACACATTGGAAGCCAGTTAGATGAATATACACACAAAAAAAATCCAAGCAATTTTTTTCTAATTGTTTATTACTATGATCAAAACTATGAACTCCAAAATCTAAAAACAGCTTGAACATGCAATATATATGACTAAGCAATAATGAATAAACACTTCTGGCATGGTCAATAAATTAGATCTATTGGCTTTAGCTCAAAGTTTACAAGATTTCATAACTTTAAGCACATTCAAGACACCCCTACCTCACCCCCACATTGACGAGATGAACACACATATAGAAGAGGGACTAAGAGACTTTGGTCCTATTCAACCCATGTAAAGTAAATAATTTAAGGTCTGACAGAGACAGAACTAAGTTTATGAGTAGCAAATTCACTACAAACCTTCACATACCAGAAATTCATTAATAACATGACTCAACCAATTATAATTTTCTACATTACATCTTAGAGATTTCTTGAGAAAGTCATCAAATATATAAAAATATCCAAATATTCCTCTAAATAGTCATTTCTATCAGATTACTAATCTCAAGTTGCTTTTTTAATAAATCATAATGTCTACTTCTAGGAATGGTTATGTTACTCAGATCAGCCTCTCTACTTGAAAGCAACTAAATATGATGGATTTTTTTAAAAATCACTAAAAAGCACTGAAAAGCTGCCAGGATAGTAAGTAAACCACAGGCCAAAACTGAAGGAAAAGTAGGAACTCAGAGTCAAGTGTAACACAAAAGTCTCATTTTTGTCCTAAGAGCATTTGCTAATGAACAATGAACTTTGTTTCTGATGGTATTATAAAGGGAATGGATCACAAATCAGATCCCAGGGCCCACCCAAAGTAGTAGTCTAATAAAATACCCTCTCCTTTCACACAGTAAACTGAGACTCTGAAGGACTACGTCCTCAGGGAAAGAATGAAGCCATGCATGAACTTGCAGTCCAAATTCTCATCACCTGATGGTCCAACAAACCTCAAGACAAGAATGTAAAGTGTAATGTGAATGTAAAGCAAACACAAATTCCCTCTGGAATAAGGACCTATATTCTAGCTTTCAAATTATCCCCATAAACAATTTTTCAAAAAGGAGCAGCACATGAAGATAACCAAGAATACACCTTGAACAAGAACCTACAAAGACAATTAAAGAACAGATTCACAAAGAGTTAAGATATTAGAATTATCAAACACAGATTACATAATGACAATTATGTTTACTATGTTTAAATAAAAAAAGTAAGCTTGAAAATATCTGCAGGAAACATAAGACAAGAAAAAAAGACCTGAATTTAAAAAAATATGAAAAGAACTCCTAGAAATGGAAAATGTAATAACTGAAATTAAAAAATCAATAGATGAATTTAATAATAGACTAGATACAGCTGAAGACTGTGTGATCTAGAAGACAGATCAGAAGTAGCCATCCAAATACAGCACCAAAAATCAAAAAGACGGAAAGTCTACAAGACAAAGAAAATGCAGGGAGAAGGACTAACTTATTTAATTAAATGAGAGAATGAGGCAGAGGAAAAAACTGGGGAAAATATAATGGCTGAGAATTTCCCACTACTAATAAAAGATACCAAACTCAAAGATTCAAAGAGTCCAAAAATTGTCAAACAAGATTAAAGAAAAAAAAGGGAGAAGAACATTTTAGGTTTAAAGTAATAAATGATTTTATAAAGAAGAACTGAAAAATAAAGAAATTAGTAAATATGTGGGTGAATTTCAATAAACATTAAGTGTAAAAAGTAGTAATAATACCTTGCTGAGTTTAAATTAAGCATAAAAAAATAGAATTACAATACACAAGAATAATATATAAATGAGGTTGGGGATAAACAAGAGTTTTAAGATCATTTTATTGTTTGGGAGGTGGTAAGACTCTGATAAATATTTGTAATTTTTAAGGGTAACCAGTAAAAGAATAAAAACTGTATAATTTCTAACCTAATGGTAGTAAAAGGAAACTAAACACTTCTTCCCCAACAAAAAATCTTAATGAAGGCAAAGAAGGGGAGAAAAAAAGAACGGATAACAGGCAACAAATAAGAAGTGAACAACTTTGTACTAATAAAATTTAACATTTAAATGATATGGACAAATTCCTGGAAATTGTAATTTAAAGTGACAAGAAAATCCAGTTCCTATAACCGAAAACTCCTCCTACAAAGAAAATTCCAGACCTACAACACTTTACTGATTCAAAAAAGAAATAATTATAATCTTAAACTCCTTTTCTGAGAACAGAAAAAAAAGGATAACATTGCCCATCTAATTTTTTTAAGCCTTATATACCAAAACCCAACATGAGAAAGAAAATATTACATGCCAGTCTTAAAATAATAGATGCAAAATTCCTAAATAACACAAACAAATCAAGGGTCGGGGGGAGAGGACAGAATAACCACAAAAATTCCTTGAACTATTTAAGTCAAGTGAACAGATATGATCTGGGGGTGGGGAGAGGAACAGGTAAAGAGGCATGAAAATCAACTCCAATGTATATTGAGAGGTAAAATTTAAAAAAAACAAACACCACAACAAAACATACCTTAGAAGTAATAAACGAATTCAGTAAAGTTGCAGGACACAAAATCAATATTTAAAAAATCAGTGGCATTTCTATTCTCTGATAATAAAGATCCAGAATGAAAATGAAGAAAACAATCTCCTTTATTTTATTTTATTTTATTTTTTAAAGATGACCGGTAAGGGGATCTTAACCCTTGATTTGGTGTTGTCAGCACCACGCTCAGCCAGCGAGCGAACCGGCCATCCCTATATGGGATCCGAACCCGGGGCCTTGGTGTTATCAGCACCGCACTCTCCCAAGTGAGCCACCAGGCCGGCCCTAAAAATAACTATATATGTATAAAATTCACACACATCTATATCATGAGCAACTGGTATTTAAGAAAGCAATGTAAGTTTAACATTAGAAAATAAATTAATGTAATTCATTTTCATAACATTAAAAAATGATCTTAAAAGATGCTAAAAAAGTATTTTGCAAATTTAAACATAGATTAATGGGGGAGGGAAACTATTAGCAAACTAGGAATAGAGAGGAACATCCTCAGATAAAGATCTACAAAACATCTGTGACAAAGATAGCATTTAATATTAAAACACTGAAAACTTTCCCTTTGGGAACAAGACAAAGATGACTATCAACCACTTCTATTTAACACTGCTGAAAATGCTAGCCATCACATTTAAGAAGGCAAAGAAAATAAAACCTATAAGGAATGGAAAGGAAGAAACAAACTGTCTTTATTCTCAGATGTGCCTGTATGCACAGAAAATCTAAAATAAGCTACAAATGAACTATTCCAGTAAAACAACAATGCTGTATATAAAAATCAATATAAAAATCTAGGGTTTTAACTTCGGTTTCTGGTCCAGCATGTAAGAAGATTAGAAGCTGTCATTCTGTCCTAAGTAAAAAGCCGAACAGACTGAAAAACCAACTCTTCTTAAATCTATCAGAGATGTGAGGTCACAAGGCAAACCATTACCCTCGAAATTGAAGTGACAGACAGGTAGATACAGAGAATCACAACTTACTAGAGCAAAAACCCAGGAACAGAAACTCCTGAGGGAACTAGTGCTAGGGGTATGGAAAACTGAACTGTAACTTATGAATTGCTGGAGGCTCAGTGTGCACAAGACTGTGAGTTAAAAAAACTCCAGGGGGACCTAGTCATGGTGGAAAAATAAAGACTTTCTAAGAAAAGCAACTAACATTGTATAAAGTACTATGCTTAATACAAAAATTAAGACATGACACTTTACAACTGATGCCACAGAAATAGAAAGGATTATAAAAGAATGCTATGAACAACTGTACACCAACAAATTGGGTAAATTCCTGGATAAATGAATAAATTCCTAGAAACACACCTACCAAGACTGAATTGTGAAGAAACAGAAAATCTGAACAAACCAATAATGAGTAAGTAGATTGAATCCATGGTAGAAAATTTCTCAATAAAGAAAAGCCCAGGGCCGGCCCGGTGGCGCACTGGATAGTGCGCCGCTTGGGAAGCGCGGCGGCGCTCCCGTCCGAGGGGTCGGATCCCACATACAGACCGGTTCCCGCTCGCTGGCTGAGCAAGGCGTGGGAGCAACGCCGAGCCTTGCAATCCCGTTGCCGGTCCCCGGTCCGGTACGGGGGCAACACTGAGGGTTGCGATCCGTTGCCAGACACGGAAAAAAGACAAAAGACAAAAAAACAAAAAAAAAGAAAAGCCCAGGGCCGGCCCGGTGGCGCACTGGATAGTGCGCCGCTTGGGAAGCGCGGCGGCGCTCCCGTCCGAGGGGTCGGATCCCACATACAGACCGGTTCCCGCTCGCTGGCTGAGCAAGGCGTGGGAGCAACGCCGAGCCTTGCAATCCCGTTGCCGGTCCCCGGTCCGGTACGGGGGCAACACTGAGGGTTGCGATCCGTTGCCAGACACGGAAAAAAGACAAAAGACAAAAAAAAAAAAAAAAAAAAGAAAAGCC